TATATATATATATATGTATATATGTATATATATATATATATACTCTCTCTCTCTCTCTATATATATATATATACATATATATATATTTGACCGTATCATGCGTTTACACAAGACAACAACCTCATGTTAGTTAGCAAACACAAAAAGCCTTTCTAAATTGATAAGCTACCATACTACGATAAGGACAGAGGTTGTAAGAAATGGGATCGACCATAGCATCGCTAGCATGACCTATATGTAGTACTGTATCTTCTGACACAACCTACAGCCAATCTATATAGTCCGTAGTGAAATTTAAATTGAACTAGTCCTGTGATATGTTTTACGAGTTTACTATTGGCCATTATCCTAAGATATACCTAAGTACCGAGATTATACGTAGTGTTGTAAAGTATATTATTAAGTTTAACACTCAGAAATGCTTATACCCACTCAGGCTATTCTTGGTTCACTAAAAGGGTCCACGATAAGGTAAAATTCATTGTTTCATGTTTATCAGAGGAAGACTCTCACAATTAGGCCTACAAGGAGGTTCGACCCATAAAACGTAGGGCTGAATGAAATACATACTTGAAAGTAGAGTTAAAAAATAAATAACATATCAACCCAAATGTCATTGTACTTAAAAAAATAATCATCGTAGCAACATTTTTAGTGACCTCACCCAATGCCAACATCGACTTATCATCATAATAATTATTTATTAGTGATTTGACTATCGTTGACTGTACTACATTCTGATTATGATTCTCTCTCTATATGATCGCGACTAGTAAGAGAACATAGCTGACTTAACATTATAAGGCCTGCCTTTGGCATAATACACTAGTGACACACCTCTTTTCATTGATTCCCCTGTAAGATATGCCTACTCACCATTAAAACTAAGAAATATCCATGTAACTGACAGAGCGTAATATTCTGGTTTTTGCCACATGTTGATTTTTTTTAACAACTCTGCAGCTAACCTGTAGCGGGACTGGACTTCTTTAAACTGCTGCTGGAGTTTTTAGTTCGCAGTAGGACCTTGATAGTCTACATTACGAATGCTAGCCAGGAGCTCGTACTAGCTGCTCAAGCAATTATTTAGCAAACAATAAGCAATGTCAAATCTCAGTGAACTTCACAATAGGTGATATTTTAACGAATGCTGAACAACAATGAACCGACAAAACCATTTAGTAAGCAGGTTAACACGGAAACAATGCGGAATCCTGACTGGATAGGAAGCAATTCTTCTCGTAAGACTAGTTTATCAACAAAATGAACAATTCGAGCGGTTATCCAAATTATTTGCAAATTTAAGTACCTAAAGTCAATAGAAATATGGAAATTGTTGCAATTTAAGAAAAGATCACCATATCGATATTCAGACGTTCGTGTAGCCCAGAAAGTGTTACCATTTGAACGAATAAAAGCATAGGCACTGTACAAGGGCAGCGGGTGGCACAAATGTTTTGCCCAAGGCATTTCTAGGTCAACAAACTAAAAATTTAAAATCCTCCATTTCATATCACCCACCGTTTGTTTATTGAAATAGCATAGATAGCTGGTAGCATAAATAGCTTTATATTATTAAAATAATTATAAATAATAATAATAATAATAATATGAAACTAATCATTGCAATATTAATAGCCTTATTGCATGCGATAGAAATTTTGTTTTACTATTTTACAAATCAGCTATATCCTTTATAGCCCTGCATCTATAACTTTGCTTCTGCAAACTTAAAAGGTTTTAAGCCATTTTCAGACAGGCTTGGGCAATATTGCAGTAATAATACCATTACACTTCAACCGATTCCACTAATAAACCATACAACCAAATATTGCGGTAATTTCCGCCTAATATACGCCTTTCTGTATGAATGGAACCCACACGTTGAGAGAGAGAGCCATTGGTTAACCTTTATCACAGTTTGTATTGTTTCTAGAAAATTGCGCTAAATGCAATTAAAGTACATTAAATAACAAGTATTTACAATAAAAAAAACCCGCCGCAATATCCTTAACTTATGACTGGTTTGTGCAGTACAGTAGTATAAATATGATTTAGAACTCAAATGATACATGCATTCTTGAGAACTGTTAAAGTACAAAGCCTCCTCGGCGGGGGAGGGGTGGCTGTAGCACACTAGCCCCCTGTAGCTCCACCACCACGGTTTAGTAAAGAAGTATCTAAACAGGAGTTGCAGTAAAATATCTTATAAAAAAGATGTGGGCTAACGAGTGTCGATTACGCAACCTTTGTGGGCCTGGTGACCACTTCATACACTATGAACAAATTTGGACCAGGGCCGGCGGAACGTTTTTCAAAGTGGGGGGCCCCACTTATAAGCAGGTGCGTAACAGGGGTCTTGGGTCGGGTGGGGGGAAAAAGTAATCATTTTCTCGGTTAGTAATTTATGACTTGGTGTGATACCCCCCCTATATAGAAAACAATATGACATATAGGGTTTATTTTATTATTAATATAGGCCACACACGTGTGTTTGAAACTAAAATATAAGCATTTTCATCTTTTTCATTTACTTATTACAATTCATAGGCCTGTTCTTTCACCATCATTACACATTGAGGCCCTTCTTTTATGTAAAACGATCTATCTTAACTTTTCTTTCTCAAGTTTGGGACTATTATGTTTTTAAATAACTTAGAAGGCAAAGGAGGGCAAGCACAATATTTAGCCCTAACAAATGTGCGAGAAGCGCGCGAAAAAATTCTTGTTTTTTTAATTCTAATTTCGTCGGAATTGATCAAAACTCCCTAAAATGTGCAATTTTTAGAGGAAATTGGCCTACCTCAACAAATTATGCGATTTAAAATTTGAGATTTTCAGACACTTTCCCGGGTGAAAAGGGCATTCAATGGGGAAAGACTTTCCACAGATGGATATCCCACGGTGGTTACGCCACTGCGGAGAATACCTGGCGGCTTAGATCAAATGCGCTATGGACACTTTTTGTGGAGAAAGGGTTGCAGGCCGGGGTATTGTGATATCTGTTCATTATATCTTCCTTCTTATTCTTGTCTTTAGGCCTATTTTTCTCTTCTCTTTTTATTTTCCTTTTTCCTTTCTTTTTCTTTCTCCTTCCTTCTATTTCCCTCCCTCTCCCCTTTTTCTTTTCTCTTCTTACCCAGCCCGGTACGACGGCTTGGTCAGCCCGGTAAAAACCGTCAGGGGGGGGGGCAGTCTGCCCCCCCCCCTGTTTCACCACTGCTTATAAGATAAATGGGAATATGAATCATGCAGATCTGGAATCAAATTTAGGTGGTGGGATCAACATTCCTCCCCCGGGAAAATTTCGATTTCTAGATGACGGGAAATTATGAGGTGCCTTTTAATTACTCTTATGTTCTTCAAAATTCAAGGTTTTCCCATCTTGAAAACGGTCAGGTAATTTTTTCCCATTGTTATTACAGTAAATAGGGCTTATGTGTGTATACATACATAACAATTTTTACAAAATAAGTAGTTGCATACGAATTTTCCATGAATCGATGAATCCCAAAAAGAAAGGGGGGTTCGGGGGTTCTTCCCCAGGAAAATTTTGATTCCTAGAAGGCGGGAAATGAGCTTTCCCGACTTCTGAGGTGTCTTTTAAATTAAAGTCATTAAAAAATACTTCAGAATTCGGGAAATCTCATTGTCCACCATTTAGAAATCAACATTTTCCCGGAAGAACTCGAACCTCCCTTTCTCTGGGTTCATTGATTCATTATAATAATTTTCAAGAGGGGAACACCTTGAATATTGAAGAACTTAAAAGTAATTAAGTTCTTCAAAATTCAAGGTTTTCCGCTCTTGAAAACGGTCAAATAATTTTTTCCCATTGTTATTACAGTAAATAGGCCTTATGTTTGTATACATACATAAAAAAAGATTGAGTAAGTTGCATACGTAGTTTTTCCATGAATCGATAAATCCCAAAAAGAAAGGGGGGAGGGAGGTCCTGCGGTTCTTCCCCGGGAAATTTGTGATTCCTAGGTGGCGGGAAATGAGCTTTCCCGACTTCTGTGGTGTCTTTTAATGACTTTTAAATTCTTCAAAATTCAAGGTCTCCCCTCCCCCCTTGAAAATGATTCAATTAATCAATGAACTCCAAAGATAAAAGGGGTCCGGGTTCCCCCGGAAAAATTTCGATTTCTAGATGGCGGGAGATGAGCTTAACTGACTTCTGAAATGTCTTTTAATGACTTTTAAAGTTCTTCAAAATTCAAAGTTTTCCCCTCTTAAAAAAGGTCAGGTAAATTTTTTATTTTATGTGTGTATACATACATAAACAAATGAGTAGTTGCATGCGTATTCTTTTTTCCATGAATCGATAAATCCCAAAAAGAAAGGGTGGTCTGGGGGTTCTCCCCCGGGAAAATTTTGATTCCTAGATGGCGAGAATTGAGCTTTCCCGACATTTGAAGTGTGTTTTAATGAATTTTATGTTCTTCAAAATTCTAATTTTCTAATAGCAACAAAAAAAAAATCAGCTCACGGGTCCTGAAAAGGTAGGTCTAGAATTCCTTTCTTTCCCCCCTTTTTTTTTGTTGCACAAGGGAGGGGTCAGGACCCGACTCCCTCCCCCAGATCCGCCAATGTGAATTGCGAGAAAATGTAACTCGGTCGGGTACTGGATAAACATTCTCTTTCTCATTCTTCTCCTCCTTCTTCCCTCCTTTTTTATTGCATTTCCGATCATACAAAAATCTCCAGACATTATATATTTTTCGCCAAAAAGTGGGGGCCCGGGCCCCCGCCCCCCCCCCACTTCCGCCGGCCATGTGGTCCACCCGACATATACCAATCTAAGTCATTTCAATTATGCCAGGGGTTATGCCACAAAAATAGAATAAATCCTGCTACACTGTCGTCTGCAGTCTTTTGAGCGCAATTATAGTCGATGGGTCTCTTTATGATGTAGGCATAAACACTGAACATTTGAACGTTTCAATTCAAGAGGAAGTATTTCTTGCTTGTCCTATTGCATAATTAGTGCAAGTGTTGAACTTATTCGATAAACGCGTATCTTAGAAGTTTAGGGCATGTACAGGCCCGTAGCCAGGTCCTTCCAAGGGGGGGGGGGTTTCTGGGCGTGAGGTCCACGGTCGAAGCCCCGGTGGGGTCGGCAAAACCCCCGAAGCAAAAGGATTTTTGTGCTTTATGGGTCTAAATAATGCTATAAAAGCAGATATGTTTGAAAACGTCTGTGTCTGGGTGGGTCTGCAGTGCGTTAGTTGGGTTGGAGGACTTATTTGGGAAATTTGAAGAGGGGGGTTCGCCATAAAAGAGGGGGTTTGCTAGAAAAGGGGGGTTCTCCCGAACCATAAACCCCCCCCCCTTCTGGATACGGGCCTGATGGAGGTATAATAATCATACCTCCGTGTTTAGGGGATCTATCCAGTCTACAGCTTTATCTCTCTATTTGACTTATTGCCGTTTTGACTAGAAAGCTCTTAAGTTAATCCCCTTGACACTATTTTACCAGAACGGCAATGGACCAAAACTCTAATAAGACAAAACGGCAATTAACCAAAACGGGAATATAAAAAAAAAAAAAAAAAAAAAAAGAGAAAAAAAAAAAAAAAAAAAAAAAAAAAAAAAATTAAAAAAATTAAAAATAATAAAAAGATTGGGGGAAACACCATATAAGAGCAGTAAAAATTCACATAAATTGAACTTTAAAATACAGAAAAAATCATGACAATAATAATAAAAAAACTAATTAAAATAATAAATTATAACAATATAGGCCTAACATACAAATTCAATAATGATAAAAAAAAAATTGTTTGCCCTCCTCACCCGCCATTAACTAACTGAAAAAATATGGGCGGAAAAAACAAAAAAAACTTGAAAAAAGTATTTTTTTAAAAGTTTTTTTTTCAAATAAAAAAATGTGATTGAATTTATCTTTATTTTTTTCTAGCTGCCCTACAAATTAGTCTAAAGTTGTTGTCTGATGTAAGATATTGCCATTCTAGGCCTCTGTGTGTTATTTTAATTCCATCTCCATCTTAAAAAAAAAAAACTCTTTCCAACCGCCCCTATTTTTCATTTTAAAAAAAGATGGGCAAACAATTAATTCTTTTAGGCCTTATCTTGATTTTAAAACTACGTATTGATATAACATACATTTACCACATCTAGAATTTTGTATTTTATTGGATCCATACAAACAAGATATTAAGCTACTTGAAGATGTTCAGCGACGAGCTACATAATTGGTTCGATCAGTTCGATGTATAAAAGATATACACTGCATACTAATACCCATCAACTTTCAAATTCAATTTGGAATAAAGCACACTGTAATAATATTATTATTAATACCGCTGCCTACTGGTTTCTAGTTATAGGAAGGTGAAAGTCATAGCCTAAAGCCATAGGTATGTGATGTGCATGTCAGTGCAAAGATTAAGATCCCGTTGGAAGCTGCCAAAATAGGGGATGAATGTCCTTGGCTGGGATAATAACATGTTATACTATAGGTATTGTGCCATTGCCTTATTTATTTTAAAATAAAAAATAATAATACAATATTATTTCATTTATCGTGTTTGTAACTGGCAAGAGGTTTAGAGATGATCACTTGATGTGTTGGGCTTTAACCCAAGTATCTCTAGTCACGTTCCTGGTCAATATGTATCTTTTTCTGTGACAAATTTTGAATTACTAATGGTTTTTTTTTTCACTCTCTACGAGGTCCTTGGTCCCAGCCTCTCAATTGGCACCAACACTGATTAAAGGGTCTGTTGGGCAACTTCCTACTAGCAAGCCAGTGTCCACCACTGCCACAAGAAGAATATCCAAAACTGAAATAAAGATTACTGAACTAAACTGAAGTTTGAAGTAGTTTATTTAAACCAACAAATTGTATCACCAAAAGGTCATCAGCCCTATTACAATTTTTGAACATATTATTTGCCTATATAATTCCAGAAAATTATTGCAGAATTATCGAAGTAAAAATTTATACATACAGTTACAATTAGGGCTATTACATAATCAACACACACAATTTTTATGCTGTATATGAATACATAATAAATAGTTCATTGAATATACATGTAGAAAATATATCCATAAGTCTAATAATTATAATAAGCAAACTGAAATATTTATATTATGCATGAACTCGGTTGTGCCTTCATTGTAAATGGCAGTTGGAGTGGTTAATTACAAGTTGAGTTTAGCACAAACGTTTAGATACTGTTCAGGAAAATTAACTTTGGTTGAAAAGAAAAAAAAACACAAAAAAACACTACTTCTCCCTGAATTTTAAGATTTTGACAAAAAGATACAAGTTTGTATGTTTGCTTTAAAGCCAGGCTCAGGATACAATGATTTTGACACAAAAAGCATATTTCAACAAAAAAAACTTTGAGATACAGATTTTTGAATATTTAAAAACTGACGGAAAGGGTAAAAAAAAGGTGGTTATGTCTCCTTTTCCTCCAGTTTTTTGTGTCTTAGAAAATCAGTTGTACAACATATCAAAAAACGTTTTCTCTCTGGAGTCTGACTTTAAGCAAAATCACCTTAGGCCTTCAATTAATACTACTATTTCCTTTAAAGGCCATATACCAATTGATATTGATTACAGTACCTTTCACAATTGATTCTAAAAATGGCTACATTAAACATGAATTAAATAACTGTTAGCGATCACATGATAATCAAAATAGTTACACCATGTTACGTCTTTGTTGGATAACAAGTGTTACAATGTAAACTTAGCTGAAAAATGTCATGTACACGCATCAGGTAAGTAAACTTAACTCTAAGGTACCATCATCAAATATAAATACCCAGCCATATACCAATTGATATTGATTACAGTACCTTTCACAATAGATTCTAAAAAATGGCTACATTAAACATTAATTAAACAACTGTAAGCGCTCACATGATAATCAAAATAGTCACACATTGTTACATCTTTATTGAATAACAAGTGTTACCCTGTAAACTTAGCTTAAAAATGTCATGAAGATGCATCAGGTAAGTAAATATGGTACCATCACCAAATATACATAACCAAATATAAATACACAGCCACTATTACTTGGCTTTGAAACCTATGTTACTGTCAAAAGTACATTAATATATTATATTTAGTATTAAAAAAACTCTATCCACTTTATTTCACTTTCAAGGTTCCAATCTTAATTAAATGAATCGATCAAATCAAACTATATAAAATATTTAGGGAATTAATTATATAATAATATGGTAGACTTATATAGCACTTAAGGACAACAAGTCCTCTAAGCACTTCACAATATTCATATATAGATTTGATTTTTAGTTGCATTTATTCTATATATATTGATATTGTTATTTTACTTTAATTTTATATTAAGATTTAACTGTGCACCCAGGACAAGAAAGGCCAGCCTATTTGAATGATTGGGCCACCCACCTTGGTTAAAATATAGTGAATAAATAAATACCAACACATGCATCCAAAAATTTCAAGAGAGTAAGAAGAAAATGTGTGGTACAAAGCAGTAGCGATTGGTTAGACCAAAAAAAAAAAAAAAAAAAAAAAAAATACAGAAATAGATGCAGTATTTATCCATGTTTCTCTTTTCATCAGAGCTTGAAATTTAGAAGAATATTCGATACTGTAGTCAGTTTTACATTTTTAAAGTGAAATAAAGTGGATATAGTTATTCATAATAAAAATAAAATAATGTATTATCAGTTTTGCATTTTAAATGTCAAAGTACTGGGATGTAAAATTATGGAATAATGCCCCAGGCTTCTATTAGTATATGTTCCATTCAAATCAACAGGGCAATAAAGACTGGCAAAAACAAATTCTAGTAACAAATAAACATTTAAAAATTATAAAAAAATGTGATGCTTGGAAATTAAATTCCTTCCTTAATACAAATCAAATTATTGTGTTTAATAGGCATGGCAAACAACATATTTGAGAGACTTAAAAATGGAAAAACTAAACACTATATTTAAAACATAAAATTTGCTACTAAAAAGTCAATTTATTACAAGACAGAACAATACCACAACATGATTGGTCCCTTTATCCCAATGTATCAAATTACATTCAATTCAAAATCTAATCGAAATCTTAATTTGAATGATTCTGTTTACTTGTAACAGTATCAATATTTAATTTGTTGTAGGTCGATTTGCAAACAGAACCTCGATCACTGATGAATCTGCCATTGTTGATACGTCTCCAAAATCATGATCATTTCTTGCTATCTTGCGTAGAATACGGCGCATTATTTTGCCAGAGCGAGTCTTGGGTAGACCAGGAGCATTCTGGATGACTTCTGGTTGTGCAAATGCACCAATCTTTGTACGAACTGAAAACAAGATAATGTTGCAAAAGTTGAAAAGAAGAAACTAAAAGAATTATTAAAAAAAATATCTACTACAAAATATACATAGAAAACTATATAAAAGCAATGAAAAACAACGGTAATCAAAGGTTTCATTTATTTACTTGACCTCACCATATACCAATACAACATGCAAATACATAACAACATGGTCAGGAGAACTTAAGCAAATATTTATTGCAACTCAGTTCTGCTTCAGTCAGTTTCCTCTCGTACAAAATATACTACAGTATAACCATGACCTGTATCAAATATTTACTGTAGTAAAAAAGCACAGACAAATAATAATAATTAAAAAAGTAATTAAATAATATTAGTTTAAGAATAAGTCCACAAGTTATTCAGGCGGGAATCAAATCCACAACATCAGATAACTGGTGTGGCACAATAACTTCAGGTAGAATTGTGCACTTCTGGAAGAAAGCATGAAACTTTGCATAGTGATACTATGACACCTAAAGATCATTAAAAAAAAATAGACCCCAAAGGATAACGCCTCCTAATGGCCACCATCTTGAAATCCAATATGGCCGCCAAAATAATTGATTTTAGCCAATAGGCCTACATTCATATCTACAGCACATGCCATTGCCAACTGAAGATCATTACCCATGTTTTCAATATCAAGGAGTGTAATGCAATCATCAGAAATTATGTCAGATGGCACCGCCATATTGGATTTCAAGATGGCTGCCAAATTAATGATAATAGCACTGTCAATCAAAGACCATTGCACATGTTTTCGATAGCAGGGACTACCATACAGCCATCAGAAATTATGTCAGAAGACCACCATATAAAATTTCAAAATGGCCGCCATCTTGAAATTTAATATGACCGCCAAAATAATTAATTTTAGCCTATGTAATCATATTTACAGCACATATCACACCAATTGAATACCATATAGATCAGCTTGTGAGTTAATCCAATAAAACCTACTGGAAAGTGTTCGGCATAGTACAAGAATGGCCACAACCAGACATTCTTAATGGTGGAAATAATATTTCCACTCCTTGCCAGAGTATTATTAGCTGATGCAGTAAAACTTAAGTAGGATATATAGACCGACCAGGAAATAGGTGTGCTATTTATAGTACAAAAGAGTACTCAATGTTAAAAAAAGGTTTCCTGTTTTTTTGTGTGAACACGGAAGCAAACTTTTTAAATTCACGTTTCTACAATGAGTCTTTTGGCTTTATTAGTATTTCAAATGCATCAAGAGTCAATCAGTTAATTGATGGGATAAGGCTTTTTATTATCGGCACGCATTTATGATGTAACCTTACAAAACAAAAACATAAACAAATAATGTGTTTCACCTTACACAATAGATAAACTGACGAAAACATTCAGTTGGAAAACTAGGAGGAAAAATACAACAGAAAATACTGGGACAAGATAGCTGGGGGGGGGGAATAGCAGTTGGAAAACAGCCTCAAGAAATAGCCTGGAAAAATAGCTGGATGGAAAAGAAATCTTCTAGTGGAAAAAATCTGAGGCGAAAAAAAGGTGGCAAGTGCCATAGTGGTATTTTCTTTGAATTAAAACTTAAAACCTCTTCGATTTTGAGTCTACACATGTAAATATTGAAAGGAAAAGAAACAGAAAAGAAAATTAAAGAAAAATAAAGAACGGAAAGGAAAAGAAAAAATTGGAAAGGAAAAGAAATAAAAAAGAATAGAAAATGAATATAATTGAGAAAGTGAAAAGAAATAAAAGAAAAATCAAGAAAAATTAAGAAAAATAT